GGATGTTGCATGGGCTGGAGAATTTCAGTTACAGCGAGAGATTGGATCGGCTGGGGTTGTTTTCCTTGGAGCAGACTCCACAGCGGCTCAAGAAGGCAGCTCACCACCACCATCTCAAGGGCAACTAGGGACGGGGCAATAAAGGCTGGACCAGCTAACCATGCCCGTGTCCCTGCAGAGGAGATTGAGAGGGGACACGGTTCAGATGTATAAAATCATAGAGAGGGTATGCAGGAAGAAAATCTTTCCCCTTGATGGACAGTTGAATGACCAGGGGGCATGGATTTGAGGTAAGGGGCAGGAGGTTTAGAAGAATCTTAAGGAAAAACCTTTTCACCCAGAGAGTGGTAGGAACCTGGAACTCTCAGGCTGTAAGGGTGCCAAATGCAGGTACTTTCAACACATTGAAGAAATATTTAGATGTGCACCTGGGATGCTGAGGTACACAAGGCTATTGGGCCATGTGCTGGGAAATGGGATTCGCAAAGCTGGGTTAACAAGGTGTAGAGCTGGATGAACACAGCAGGCCAAGCAGCATCAGAGGAGCAGGAAAGCTGACGTTTCGGGTCGGGACCCTTCTTCAGGAATGGGGGAGGGGGTAGGGAGCTCCGAAATAAATAGAGAGAGGTGGGGCTGGGGAAGTTAGATTACCAGAGGGTTGCAGTGGGAGAGAGATTCACTGAAGTCTTTCTGGAGGGAGGAGGATAACTCTTCAAGGTGGGTAAAGGTAGCTCTGTAATGGTTTCTATGCTGTCCATAAGCCAACTCCATCATCTCTCCCTGTCAGCGTGAAAATAACTCCGGCAGTCTCTGTGCAGAGAAGGTGGAGTTAATGAACCAAAGAAGGGTTGTACCAGACTTGAGACATTCACTCTCTCTCTCTCTCTCCAGCTGATCTTCTCCAACACACTGTATTTTTATTTCAGATTTCCAACATCTGTGCCAGTCTGCTTTTATTTCAGCATAAATACTCCTTTCTCCTCCTTTCTCCTTCTGGTACTAACCCTGCTTCCCCTCGGATACATCCTCTCTCTTTGCCTCAATCGCTGACTGTGTTTTTCAGTTCAACATTCTCTGGAGAGAGCTCACAGCGTGACTGACCTCCAGCCACGAAAACCAGAGGGTGGAAAACTTCCTGTCTTTGAAGCCTCTGTAGAGATCTATTTGGCCGTTTAACAATGTAGTTTGGTCAATCTTTCCACTCACCCTGCAAATTCATTGAGTTTGGTTTTAATATTCATTCTGTTACATTTTAATTGCATTTCAATACATCCTTTTAGCGTCTGGCACCATGTGTAGAGACTGCTTGGCTGGTTACTCTGCAGTTAGCTACACAGACACAGACACAAACAGACACACACACACACACACACACACACAAACACAGACACAGACACACACACAAACACAGGCACACAGACACACACACAGACAGACACACACACAGACACACACACACTCAGAGACACACACTCAGACACACACACACACACACACACAGACAGCCACACACACACACACACTCTCACACACAGACACACACGAACAAACACTCACACACACAGACACACTCACACTCAGAGACACACAGACACACACATACAACAGCACACACACAGACACTCACACACATGCACACACACACACACGCACAGACATACACACACACAGACACTCACACACATGCACACACACTCACACAGACACACACACTCAGAGACACACAGACACACACAGACAACAGCACACACACACACACACACAGACACTCATGTAGACACACACACACGCACTCAGACACACACACACAAACACACACATACGCACAGACACACACACAAACAGGCACAGACACTATCACACACACAAGTGTAGACAGACATTCACACACACACACTCACACAGACACACACACACGCATACATACACAGACACAGACACACACACACAAACACACGCACACGCACAGAAACACCCACATACAGGCACAGACACTATCACACACACAAGTGTAGACAGACATTCACACACACACTCACACAGACACACACAGACACACACACACGCATACATACACAGACACACACACACACAGACACACACAGACACACACGTGCACACATGCACACAGACACACACACACACAGACACATACATACTCAGAGACACACAGACACACACAAACAACAGCACACACACACACACACAGACACTCACATAGACACACACACATGCGCTCAGACACATACACACACACACAGACACACACACACACACGTACAGACACACACACACACACACACAAACACACACACAGACACACACACTCACGCACAGACACACACACACACACGTACAGACACACACACACACAGACACACACACAGTCACGCACAGACACTAACACACACATACGTACAGACAGACATTCACACACACTCACACAGACACTCACACACACACACACACACACAAATACACACACACATACAAATACACACACAAATACATGGACACACACACATACACACATGCACACACACACACACAACCACACACAGACACACATATAGACACACATGCACACACACACAGACACAGACACACACAATCAGATGGTTTACTCAGTGCCTGTTTCATGGTTTACAATGTGTTTTACTGTTTTAAATAATGTAACCCACTGAGTTAATCAATCGCTCACAAGCAATTGATTATTAGACCGTTACCATTGTCATTGAGAGACATCCTGTCCAGTGCATGCTGGTATGTTCTCTCTCTGAGCTGTCAGACCACAGGATCCAAGGTCAGGCACATGCCAATTGACAGCCCAACGCATTGGCTTCCTGTTTCGGGACTCACTGTCACACACGGCCCTCTGAGATCGACACACCGAAAGGAAATAGTGAGCTTTGGTAGCTGGAGTCTCACATGCAATGGCTTTGAATAGCTGGAATGTATCAGCAATACATTTCCTGAAGTGTTTCATTGTGAGAATAATGGTGGGCTCAGTCAGGAGGGCAGATCGTCTGAGCTAGACACATACTCCCTCCAGCACAGAAGATAACCGGCTGATCTAACTGAAGAGTTTAAGATGATTAAAAGATTTAATGGTGCATACAGAGAGAAACGGCTGTCTCTGGTAGGGGGAGGGTCATTTTATTTAATAGTTTGATGCTACCAATAATTGCCCCTGAAGTGAGTGTCACACTCGGCTACTCCAGAGGGACAGTTAAGAGTCAACCACATTGCTGTGGGTCTGGAGTCACGTGTAGGCCAGACCAGGTAAGGGTGGAGGTTTGAATAAACGTGGAGCTGGAAAGGCACTCCCGGTCAGACAGCGTCAGTGGGAGGGTGTGTTTGTGTGTGTCTGGGTGTGTGTGTGTGTATGTACCTGTTTGTGTGTCTGTGTGTGTGACCCTGTGTGCATGTGTGTGAGTCTGTATGTATGTGTGTAAGCCTGTGCATATGTGCATGTGTGTGAAACTGTGTGTGTATGTGTGTGTGTGTCTGTGTATGTGTCTGTGTGTGCTTGTGTGTGTCTGTGTGTGGTGTGTGTGTGTGCACCAGCATGTCTGTGTGTGAACCTGTGTGTCTGTGCGTGAGTGTGAAAGTTTGTGTGTGTGAGTTTGTGTATGTGTATGAGTGAGTGTGTGCATGTGTATATGTGTGTGTGTGTGTGTGTGTATGTCTGGGTGTGTGTGTAAGTTTGTGTGTGTGTCTGGATGTGTGTGTGTGTGTGTCTGTGTGTGTGTGTGTGTGTATGTTTGCGTACATGTCTGGGTGTACGTGTGTGTCT